CAAAACACTTATTTTGTCCAAATCGACCTCACTCGTGAAACTTAACATCGCTGGGGCAACTGGGAAGCAGAAGAGCACTGGGATGAGGACTTGGGTGGGGCGGATAGAGAAGAGCGCTTTTGTTGGCAAAAGTGCGTGGTGGATGCGCCATGATGGCAACGTGGGCGAGGATGTCAAAATCGTTTCACAGTGAGGAAAACCGTCTTGGACAAAATCAAGACAGAATTGCCAGAATCACCAAACAGACAAGCCCAAAACTGAGAAGACTTTTGTACTCAACCTGAAAAGCCAAGAGGTTCAAAAGCTGGCATGACTTTACCACCCACGACGGGCTGGATATTGGCCTGAACACAAGAGTGTGGGAGAAAAGTGTTTTCCGTATGCAACGTGGGCAATTGTTGCAATTCCAGAATGCCACAAGCTACCTTGTTAGTTGAAGTTTTTCCTGAAGGTTCTCTCCGTTTCTTATAGCGATTCTGGAGTTGGGGCTTATGATGAGCTGGAAATCCTGATGCTGTTGGGGGATGATGCAAATCAATGCAAATCACCTCAGATTTGCGTGGCGTGTCCTCCTTTGTGCAGGATCTGTTTCCTCCAGAAAAAAACTGGGCGTACATCCAACTTGCCATGCGGCCATACAGGTATGTATCGAAGTCAGGGTGCTACATAAATGAGTTGTTTTCAATCCACCTGGTCACCTGGGTCACACACGCACAACCGTTGGACCAGACCGTGGGTCGTGGCCAGGTGGCGAGGTTGCAGTGTGCCCTCAATGATTTGCCACATTGCAGGCAGGGCCAACACCGAGTCACATGCGAGTCACATTGTAGGCAAACCACAGAGCGAAGTACGTGAGTGCAAACCAGCCTGTTTGGTACTCTTTGGATCTTCCGGGGAAGGTCTTCCGCACCGATGTCGCGGCCGCCGCCGGCGAAGTACGGATGATTTCAGGGAGTTGACGGAAGGAACGAACACATCACATGGAAGTGGGCCATTTCCCCCTATATATTTAGAGGAAAGTTGTCAAGAGACCATCCAATTCCAGGATGTGTTCGTTAGAGTGTAGATGTTTGGGAACGCAACAAGTACTGCATATCATTATATCAACATATATCAACGAGTTGCGCGTGGGTGTTTTTCTGTATTGGGAAGAGAGATGAAACGTATGAAGAGCTCAACCTTGGCACAACTTTACCAGATGCAATGACACCCAATCAAAGCTTTTAAGACTCGGGTTGTTCTCCCCTCAGGTGCAGCGCTTTCCCTCAATTCTGAAACTCAACGGCTTTTAAATTGGCATTCAGCGAATTTACAAAAACCGTTGGGCGGCCAAACGTCACCACCTTGAGATTTGAACCGTCTTGAGATTCGGGGGAATGAAGTAACGAAGCGACGGCACTTCTTGCATGGGCGAAGAGGTCTGCATGGTCCACTAAAAGAGAAGCTCGAATGCTCTTGTCGAGTCATGAAGGGCAGTTATCATATTAAAGAAACATCCGTCCTAACTTTATGACCACAAGAAATTGTCCAGCACTTTATACGACAAAGGTCGAGAACATCCTCTGATTTTGGGCTCGGCAATTGTGGCATTTGTTGGGCGAGAAGCTTGCCTGGGAGACCAGGGGACTGATGGGCGCACTTCTTCACATGCGCGGAATATGTAGTTTCTTGCTGCAGCGGCATGGCCAAGAGTGACAGTCAAGTGCAGGGCGATCCTTGGGGGATGAAGCCTACTATACACTATAGTATCACTGGATCATAGTTTTCTCACCCCTCCAACCTTGTGTTGCAGCACTTTTCACACACCTGGTTTCCTGCCCATGTGCCCCAAGTGGAGCAAAATCATTGGTCCATGAACCATCCATCCTGGATGGGTATTGATCTGTGTAACCGAGACGTTGGGTGCAGCAGATTGACATCCCCAACGTGTTGTTTGAATCCCTTTCTGACATAGACACCCGTTACCACCAATTCTTGGCACCCCTTAGGGTCTAACGCCATGCCAAACCACCGATCCTAAGGATCGCGCCGTCCGAAAACGAGATCGACCACACAAACCAAATGGTTCTCCCCCCAAACACACCAACTGGGCCATTGTTGGAAGCCTTCCTCTACTGCCTGCCAGTAGCTACGTGGTCCCATCCCGCCAGTAGCTACGTGGAGCGCCTGGGGCCTTCGATCTTCGCGCTGGGCTCGGGGCCCAACGATCCGACCTCTTCGGGTCCTGTCCGGGTGGTCGGGGCAGAGAAAGGTGGGTGAGAGGAATTCGGAAGGAAGACTGGGTGGGTGGTGATGGGACGTCTTCTGAGAATCGTTTTGTTTCTTTTTTCTCGGAGTTCCCATGTTTTTGTTTTGGATTTTTTCTTGCGTCCATTGGGATGGTCTGCGAGATTCTGCGCGGGGTGTTTTACTGTTTGGTCTTGACTTTCTTCACGTCACAGCGGATGGATGGTGCTTAGCAACGTCACCAAACGTGCAGAGGTTTCTTCAGCACTTGGATGCTCCAAAACGCTGGCAGTTCCCAAGAGACATCGCTCTCGTCCTCATGGGACGAGTGGCAGCTTGACTGAGGAGTCCACGTAGGAGTCGATCTACGCAACACGACGTAGGAGTCGATCCCACCTTCTCTCGGACACGACGTATCTAGTTGGAGGATGTTCGAGGATCAACCCAACTACGATATACTATATCCCCGTATATATCAACAAGATCCCCGTTTCAATCCGTTTGTCTTTTCAGAATCGTTGGATAGAAGGATGTCGAAGGACATGTTTCCCCCCAAAGGCTCGCCTCACGTTGGCGCCGCCATCGGTCCGAACACCGCGTTCCGTATGGCGCGGACACCGCTCACCGCTTTCACGCCGTGTGGCCCCGCTGGAGCCGTGCGAAGCGCATGGTCCCACCATGACCGGGTCGTCTTATCTTCTCACTTGGAAGACCAAAACCTCGTCTGTCACCATTGTCACCTCTGTCACGATATCAAAGGCCCTTGACTTGGTCGCCGGAGTGTGGATACCTCGGGCCGACCTCCGCGTGTTCTCCCGACCTCCGCCGTCCGAAGGCTTGGAGTGGCGGAAGCCGGATGGGACGACCACCTGTTTGCCAGGGCCGACCTTCCGCCGTGGCGCTCGGTGGTGTGGTGTGATGGGACGTGTGTTACAGTAGATGTTTTGTTCTTCTTCTTTAATACGGCGGCTCGGCTTTTTTGTTGTTAATTTACGTCTTTTGGAGGTCCGCGCTTCTTGTTGGGTGTGTGGATTGAGCGGCGTTTTTGGGCTTGCCCCAAAACCGGTGAAAGAGACACCTGGGGTGCAGAACCGCCCGCTCAACGGACAGAACGCCGCTGCGTCTTTGCTCGGACGAACAAATACGACTCACGACTCAGGGGTTTTGGGACCTGTTTCTATTTGGGGGGTCTGATGGTGCACAGGTTGCAACACGTCTGCTGTTTCAGGTTTCATGCCCCGGTCGGGATTTGGGATAGAACGCAGTGTACTGCAAGGTTTCACAGGACCGTGTGTTGAGTGTGGATTTTGGTCACCCTAGAAACAGATCGGTTTTGGGAACTGACATCTGTATCTTAGATCATCTATTTGTAGAAGGATCAGCCTGGGCACCTATAACCAATCGTGGATGCTTTTTTGGAACACCGCGCGAAGCCGAGGTGAGCGTGTTGGCGCGGCGAACGTGGAGCAGTTGATGCTGCGGCTGGGCTGAAATTGAGGGTGGGGGTGAGGGGGAAAACTGGAGTTTACCAAGTGGGTTGGTACCCCACCCCCCAGTTAGACGCTTTGCCAACATGCACATCCCAAGAGGTGTAGGGATGGAAATGCGATTTCCAGCGATCTTCTTTGGAGTCTGTGGAGCTGTTTAATTCTCGAGCGCCACGCAACCTCACACTTACGGTATATACGATGAGGTGACTAATTCCCAGTCCAAATTAGAGTCTTAGAGAGTGCAATTCAGAACCGACTCTAGGACCAGTCATCCTTGTTGTTTGAAGTTGGATTACAAAATTCTGAGAACCAAACATGAACACCATGACCCTCCACCAGCTGCAAAAGTCAGAATCGAAACATGCCGTGTCTCTAAAACCCAACCGGCCAAGGAGATGCCCAAAACACGAAAACATCCTTGGAAAGGTGCTAGAAAGCCCAAAAAGCTTCAAAACAGCCGGCCCCCTTATCCCCTTGCCTTGCATCACGTTTCCTTTTTTCCCCCCCGTTCCGTGGGCATCGCTGTTGCCCCAAATGGACTCTCACCACTCTTTCAAAGGGCCCATTTCCGGGTGCTTCACCCGTTCACCCGCTAGGTCTTCAGGCGTAGGCGCGGTGAAACGCGGGGGGGAGAGCGGTTCCGCGCCGTGCAAGGCGGTGAGACGATTCGGGCAGAACTGGTTGGGGGGAAAGAGCAAAAACACCTCGGTGAATTGGTGCATTTTTTTGAACGAAATCTGTGCACAATTTTGCTTTTTGGTTGCCATATGTTGCCATCCATCTCCCTCTGTTGGACTCTCGAATTTCTGACCTGGTTTTTAAGATGTGTTCTTTGGGCGTTTTGACTGTGTGAGGAAGGCCACATGGGGCTTGAAGAGATTTAAGATAACTCCTGACATGTGGAATTCCATCCACAGATAAGCCTCCCAGCAAGACATTTCCTCCCGCACTGATCATTTTTCGGCTCTTCCGAAAGCACCCTAATTAAGGTCGACCATGTGGGCTCATCAAGTTGTGCTGGTGCCGGAATTCCCACCGTTCTACCGTAGACATGGCTTCGAGGTTGGCAATATATAAATCACTTGGCCATGGGGTGTAGCGTTGACGCCGTCTCTTACTAGTAGAGGGAAGAGTTGTGTCAACGAAGAAATGCATCCTTCCAACAACTTTTCTTGAGAGAATGCATCTTTCAACAGCAGGTAGACTTGGTCGAACCAGGTTGTTTGAAGTTCCTTCAACAGCTGGTTCTGGCAGTAGACTCTGTGGACGTTGTGATAAACCAACACCAGAACTTCAGCCGGCTGCCCCCACTGGCTCATCCCACCTAGTCAGTGGAAAACCTGCAAGGCCTTTGAACTGGTAGAAGGTTTACCATTATTGACCTGAGTCAGAACCCAAAAGAGAATGCACCTAAAGGCCGTAGTTTTCGGCGCTTTTCGCGCGGACGGAAGATTTGATGGTCTCAGCATTCGTCCGAACCATTGGCTCCAGTGTGTCGTGTCGTTGCCGGTTGGGCTCACCGCCAGTTCACGTGTCACGTGGTGATCGGTTTGGGCGTCGGTTTTTTCGTCGCCAGGCGCGTGGGGGCAAAGATCTGCGTGCCTCGGAGATCTCGAGTTTCAGCTGCGGGGCAAGTTTGGAAAGGATCCGGGACACGTTTGGGAAATGTTCAATGTAAGTTAACATGGACGTGTTCAAGGTACCATGATGTAGAAGTGGAGGAAAACCTGATTTGTAGGGGAAACTGGACAAGAACTATGATATCAAACCATATATCAAACCCCACCATATATCACTCCATATCATATAGTCTTACCACTTCAGGACATCCTTTTCGTCTTACCGGGTCGATCAGCCGACTTCGAACCCGTGGTGCGGAAACCATGGCGAACCCGTACGGTGAGTACTGCGCGGTCGCACGGTGTTTTATAGGTTACAGGTGGTTGAGGTTGTTGTTTTATAGGTCGCACGGTGTTTTATAGGTTACCTCACAAAACACAGTGAATACTCCCCTGTTGTTGAGGTTGTTGAGGGAATAACGAATTGTGATGAATTGTGTGTTGTACCTGCATGCGGCCCTTGTTCGTGTAGATGTGACATGCAGCCTTTTTAAGGTTCTATGCGGATAAGCCTGGGCACACAAGAAGCCTTCCTCCTCCTGCACAACCTTTCTTGCGCAACCTTAGGTGGCAACTGCTGCTGGCCTTATGGGAAGTAGCGCAATGTATATTCACGTGCATTCATGCTTATATTAAATTAAATTAGCCTTCTCAATATGTTTGCAAAGGGCACTGATTGCATTCAAGCAGCAACACCTCCCTGATTTCTGGGGCGCGGGTTGTACGCCAACCTTGTGCTAGCTTAGGGGAAATGGCCGGCAACAAGCGCCCACTTTCTATCATCTGAATCACCCAACAAAGCGAGAGCCTTCTGTCGCTTCACGTGAGGCATCCCACTGCCTTCCTCAGGAGCATGTTTTTCAGACATTTGTCTTGAGTTCTCTTCTCACCTTTCTTCTCACCTTATTCTTAATACTTAATAAGTGATCATTGGAGAGCACACCTACAACTGTGCCCAACTTGTCATGGTAGAAGTCCCTTTGCCAATTTGCTTTGTGGCCTTTGTACGGACCGCGACGTTGAGGAAATCTTTGGAAGAATCTCAGCTGCCTTTTTCAACAACTGGATTCAACAGGTTTGTAAACCAAACCTTTGCATGTTCTCTGTCACCAACAGGACCTTAATTATCTCCGATCACTATGGCCACTGTAAACGAAGCAGAGGGAGCGCCAGAACTGGCTGCGTTTGCGTTGCGTAGGAGCTGTAGTGGCTGTCTCCTTCTCGTCCGTCTTTGTGTGCACATTTTTCGCACCAGCTGCGGAGTTGTCTGATGACGGCCTGGAACTTGTGTCGTAGCTTTGCGCGTACGCAGTCTGAAATTGTCAGTCACCGAGCTTTTCAACTTTCAATGCTTGAACACATCCAGTTCAATTCATGGTGCAAAGCCTGTATCAGCTGTGATTTCTGGACTTCTCGATCAACATGTGGCACAGGATGGGCTGTTGCCGTCTGAAGAAAGTGCTTTCTTGCAAACGCTTGTGCCATGCTTGCAAAAGCACCTTGTCCGACATGGGTGCCCCATGGTCCGAGGCAGAAATGGACCGGATTCCCTGAAAACATGTTCTCCTTGGAAAAGATGGTGGAAACTCATGCGCTCTGTGCTGATGCACTGATGCTATTTAATTACATGGCTCCAACACCCATGCACAGTTCTATGGCCTTCAAACAAGAACAACTGGCCTTATGTGGGGTTGGAGGAGGAAGGGACTCATCCAGAAACACTTCAGGGTGCCTTCATGCGCCAAACCGACGGTTTCCGAGGCCCCCACCAGCGGCGCCAGAGGAGGAAGAGGATGATGCGGACCTGCCGCTAAGCTCAAAGCAGCTCAGGGTAAGAACTGAGTGGCTGGGCAGGTGGGACCAAACAGAGTTTGTACATCTGCTTGCTTGGTCTCTTGAACCGTGCCCACATGTGATCTTACGGTTCTGGGAGTGGAGGAACGTGTCGAATCCCATCAATGGGGAGCCCCTGGAACCGAAACTTCGCTTGCAGCATCTTAGTCATGCACAAAAACTGGCAGAATCACTGCATCTAGTCAGTTGCAGACCCTTTGTGTCTCTGATTCGTGGCTCATCTCGTACAGAACTCCCCATCTTCCCAGGTCGCCGGTCGACCACGGGTCGACTGGGGTCTTTCGATCCAGCGCGGGTCTTCGACGGCTCACGTCGAGGCAAGAAGCTCTGAGGCTGTCCATGATGGCCAGCTGAGTGGCCCCCTGGCCCCCCTGCGTTTCTGAGCTGGAAGCTTGGGTGGCCTGGTGAAAGTTCTGTATCGATGTGTGAAGAAGAACGGTGTCGGTTGAGCCCCAAAAAGCCGGAGCCGAGCCTGGTTGACCATGAACAAGAGCTCGGTTGTCCGGGTTTTGCTGTCCAGAATCCTTAGGAAAACACTGATAGTTTGGTAAAGACTCGTAAAGACCATTAAAAACATGCTTAGTTTGATAGGACACTCATATAAGGTGAACTACAGGTTTCTCAGGTGTCAGTGAAGGGGCACGAGCTTGCAACCCGCCGTCTGCACGCGCATAGCCTGTCACGCGGACGAACCGTACTCAGAAGGAGACTGATCAGTCCCTGGCAGAGAAGTTGAGACGAGTGTCTTTCCCAGACAGGCAGATCTTACGAGATCTGTGGTTGAGATGCTATGATGACTGCGAGGGAGTACCATGGTCAACCTCAATCAAAGTATTGTAGTCTAGAGTCGCCCCCCCAGGTTTTTGGGCCACAAAAGGAGAGCACCCAAGGGTGCGGGTATGATTTGACTGTAATCCCAAGGGTGGCTAAGGGACTGGCAGGATTGTCTGAAAATTACATAACATTACACCTGAAACAGACTGGAAAGGGACATGGACATGGAGCCCAGAAAACTGTTTCGCTGCCAACGTTTCTCATTTAGAGCGTTGGTTTGAGCAGATATTCGTTCATTTTATTCCATCAACAGGAGCTCTCAGCACTGATTCTGATCTTAATTTTTTTTCGCACATATTTGTGCCAACAATTTCGTGTATCCTTCCAGCAGGATCTCATTGAATTGCCTACCTATGTACTGTACCTAGCTGTGCCATAGATGATCGATCACGAGCGTCGCGTCGTCCGTCGTGTGACCGGATGAATTTGGATCGCGGGCCTAACGCTGCCGGTAGAGGACGAATTCGAGAGAATATGGACAGCTCATATTCTCCGAAAGTCCCAGAGCCATCTGCTCGACGATGCTCACTCCACAACCGTAATGATTTTCAGAATCCTTGGAAGATGGCAGAGAGCGACCCGTTGACCAGATGGTCAGTCCCGGCGTTGGCCTTTGGTACGTTCCGTCCGACCAGAAATCAGACCAGTGAGTTGCCTTGAGGGCCGTCGCAAAAAGGAGTGGCGATTGTGCAGATTTGGGTGGATGTGGCGACGCTTGAATTGGGTCATACCTGACATGAAAGTGGGATCATCTGTGCAGCAGTCTGCATGGATCCGCAAAAGTCTTTGTTTCGGATGTGGACGTGTCTTTGAATGCCTATACCTTCTGAGCATGCGGAGTATCCATGGGTGGGTTTCTCAGGTGGTGCAAGAGAACCTGTTCCTCAAGCTCTGAAACGTTTCATGCAGGACTTACTTGGTTTTGCTGATCGGGTACGCTTTCTACCGATTTCTATGTTCCTTCCTGGGTGAATTGCCTGTCATGGGGATAGTTGTTCTTTCGCATCCGAAGTAGCAAGCTTCGCTCACAGCTACCGACTTGGGGTTTGGCTCGGCTCGCGAGAGGTCCGGGGTGTTGATCTGGTCGGTTTTGATCTCCCTTCTTCGCACCTCCAAGTGCTGGAACCCCGGAGACGCGGCTGAAATCCAGCTCACTTGGGTGACTAGAGGGCTACTGAATTGACTCTGAGTCATTGCTGGTGGCGCCCTCGGATTTCAGTTCTCGGCTGGCTGTTTGGTGGGTTTGCGTGGCAAATCAAAGCACATAAGGGCGCATAGACTAGCCTTAAGGACAAGTCCAGCAAAAGTTTCACACCTCGTGTCCATTGTGACTCTAAATATCACTGAACAAGGTTGACACGACAATTTAATATGTATACAATTGTATACATATGTGATGTGTCATTGTAGATCTTTGCTCCTTGTTATACAACATGACTAACTCTACCAGTGGGACTTTAGCTTAAAGCCACAAGCAATTGTTTTCAGAAACATGTGGAGGTGTTTTTTTCTTGCTTCCTTTCATTCATGTTTCTTTTGTTCTCCAAGGCGAAATCGAAAAAACGTCGACTTTTTTTTGGTCATTCCTCTTTGCTTTTGCATGTCTGAAGACCTGCATCGCAGCACGTCGTCTCCGTTTGCCACCAAGCGCAACGGGTGAGCACACGGGTCACGCCCCCCACGCGTCGCGAGGCGGTCCGGGTGCGCGTTGCGCGGGTTCGGATTCCTGTTTGCTGCGGTGGATGGACAGGTGCAGATGACCCATGGTGCCTGAGGGAAGCACGTTTTTGGACATGTCCTCTTCTATTGAGAAGCGCCTTTCACGCAAGAAAGCTATAGAAAGCTTATTGTGCATGAATCAACCTCTACCTGGGAAAGAATTGGACATGGCTCTATCGCACGGACGATGCAGCTGCAGGGAATCCGTTTCTGAATATGAAGAGCTAACCACTCTTCGGCCCAGCAGCTCAAAGACACGCGCGCACACAAAATGCCTCCCAAGAGCTTTGGGGGCCAAACGCCCTGCAGGGAATCCTCTCTTCGCGTGTCGTCGAACGCCAGGCTCCGTGAGGCTCATGACGAGTCTGCAGCAAGCTTATATGGAAAGGACGGAGCCTTTGGGAGCGTAGCGTCGTAGTGTCTTCCAATCTCCCCCCACTGGAAGATGCGAGGTATGTTCAGGTCGATGTTGGTGGCACTGAAGAACAAAGTGGCGCAAAAAAAGCAAGCAAGATGGCACATGTGTCACCTCTTTATCTGGGTGGGTGTTCCATGATGTTCCATGGGTTTCTTCTTTTTCATGTGTGGGAGAATCATTCAGGCGGAGTGAAGGATCTCACTCCTGATTGAATGGTCCGTTTGGGGACTGATCGGGTCGTCTATCATGTGGATTCTGCGGTGACATCTAGTTGGTGTGTAGCTTGGCATTAAAGAGCAGAGAAGGTCCTTATATATTTGCGTATTGTACTTGGCACTTCCCATTGGGCTCGACACCCCCCCTTAGATTGAATCGAAGGATGGGAACGAGTAGTTGCGAGTGAAGGGGGGTTGGGGCGCACAAGGAAGGCCCCCGTTAGCAGTTTTTTGGCGGACGAAAGCCCAGCAGTACTCGTTGGATCTTTAGATAGCCTGTTGCTCCAGCTTTGAGGATTTTTCGGTGCCTCGCTTTCTCTCCTTCAGATTCACACACTTGAAGCAGACATAAGACACACAACTTACGCATGAACCGCTGCTGTGCTGTTTGGATGTTGCGCTGGTCCGGTCAGTTCCTGTCTGACTCATTCGAACTTCGGACCATCGCAGAAGGACCCAATGGCCACTCCTTTCGCCCCGTTTGCCCCATTCTGGTCTCGACCGAGCAGGATGCAACAGTCCAGCGGGTATGGCCGCGTCAGTGAATCTGGAGGGTCACCCGGTGTGCATATGGTGTGCGTGAACTGTGCTGCGGTTTTCTGCGAGACTGCGATGTCATGTCTTGATTGGAATTGGAGTTTTCTACTCATCACTGTTTCGGGGGTGCTGAAAGTTTGATCAGAACTTCATCCAACTTGTTTCTTCGGTTTCGTCACTGCATTTCTTTGGTTTGCCCATTTCGCAGTGAGTTATAGCAGTATCTCGCGACTTTGGAACATTTTCTCCTTGTGTTTGGGTGGCATTGGAGCCTTTCCGGGTACCATGCCTTTGGCGGAGTTGTTGCTTGTGGCAACCCCATGAATCTTGATGGCATCAACATCGCCCAACATGTTGCATTCTGAAAAAGAGCAGTGGCGTTGACTCCACTGAACTTCATGCTTGGGAGGTGGTGTCGTACTGCGGGTGGTGGTGTAAGAAGTGCAGGACCAGATCCCTACTTTGATCCTTGGACTCCTGTGGCACTGCCCGAGAACGGAACTTTCATTTGCCCTCCTGTCGAATGCCTTCTGCAGAGAAAACCTTCTTTGCGTCCTATCAATTACAGTGACTATTTTATATATAGTGGCTAAACTTAGGGTCTTGTTATCTCTTGATAATATAGACTATACATCACAATGGATCCACAGCTGCCCCAAAGCTTCACTTGTCTGGCGCCATGACTAATTATAGTTCCTCAAGGGCGTCAAGCTAAGGGCCTTCCAGCGGAGAACACTTACTGTATTTGTTTAAAGGTGTTTTGGTTGGACGTCGATTGCTGGGTGAGTTCTTGGTGTCTGGTCCATGATCTTGCTGAACCAACTCCGAACTTGACGTCCTTTGACCAATGTCCCGTGGAAGTTTCTGTGATCTGAGGTCACAATCCTTGCGGCTGCCAGTGAACCCCTTGCCAGCCGACACCCTCAACAACCTGCAGGTGTGGGAAACTAGAAAGGAGTTTCGTGTTACATGGGGCTGGCAGGCATTTACACCTGCTTTGACTCCCTGGGTCTTTGCATGAAGCCATGCTGATTCTATCAGCAAGTATGAAGGAATATTCAGAGCATCCTTTTTGATATCTTTTGATCAATGTTTTGGGGCACTAAAAACAGGCAACTACCATGTACAGGACCTTGATGATACCTGCCTCATCAGAGCTGAACTGCCTCCATCCTCCACTGGCGCCGTTGTTTGCATCCTCCACCCATCTCCACTCATCTCCCCACAGCCGAGCCCGCCCCGCTTCCGCGGCCCGCTTCCGCGGCGCCGACGCCACCCCACCGCCAGGCGCAGTCTGACCAAGTGCTACGCCGCGTGAGCGCACTGGAGTCCTCCATGACCGAGGCACCGGCCGGGAGCGACGAGCGACGAGCCGCGCGAGCGAACGAGGGGCGCGAGCGAACGAGGCAGGTTGGATGGATGGTGGTGTCAGTGGTCTTTCTGGAAGGAGCCAGTAAGTTGAGCCATGCAGAATAGATAGGTGAATATACTATAATGCTGTGTTTGTTTTTCGTGTTGTGTTGGGGTGTTTGAACGTGTGCACTCGAACCATGTTCTAGAGAGATCGTTTGAAAGCTGTATGCTTGTCTTCGACTTGAAGGTGATTTGTTTGTTCAGCTTAGCTTCGTACCCAAATAAACGTCCGCTTCAAGAACACGCTCGGGAAAAAACGCCTGTGGCTCACTTAGCTTGTGCATAAGCCCGTGGAATATCAGAAAAAAATAAAACAGAAAACTGGAGAAACATCCGCAGACTCCAATATTAGGCTGTGACTCCCAAAGATGTTTTTCACGCTGCAGATCGATAAAAACCACTCTGAGGAAGTTCCAGGTATGAACCCTATATTATGGATCCACTGCCACCTTCTGAAAGGGTGACTGGAGACTGTTTATGTGGCCAGGAGGGCCCAGTCGTACCGAACCTGAAAGGTATGTGGATCCTTAGGGATATAACAACAATATTAGACATGTTCCGGTCAACTTTTCGGAGGAACACAGCACAAACAAACCGAAGATTCACAAAGGATGGAAAGAAACAGCACCATCACTACCCGACTAGATGGATTTTTTGTTCAATTCAGGTTCCATGTTGTACATGTAAAAGTTCAACCCAATCAATTCAACCCAACAAGGACGACCCAACGGTGTCCGGATTCTCTTGGGTCCACCGGGTTTGCGTCCGTGTGTTGCGAAGGTTCCCGTCGCTGAGCGAAGAAGCATCTGTCCGTTTCAGAGACGGAGAGGTTTCAGAGACAGAAATCATGACACTTTTCACCACTCTTCGGGTGCGAACTCCTCCCTTTCCCCAGACAACAGCCCAACAAGTGACGCTGGACAGGTGACCCGGCGCTTGGATGATTGGACTGAGGCAAGCTGTGGGCTATAGAGATTGCACGAGCAGTTCGAGAGCTCGCAGCTCTCATTCCACCAGCTCGCAGATCTCATCACATGTGGCCCACTTGACACGAAATGCCCAAGTTGGGTCGGATCGCGTGGCACAAGCCCCACATCTCATGGTTTTGGTGAATGACAAGCTGATCAGTTCCCCCCCCCCGAGCCAAAGGGGAGTTTCCAGGTGACCCGCGGCGGTATCGCAGACCTGCGCGCGGAGATCGGCGCGGCCCGGGGCGCCCGGCCAAGACGCCGTGGCGGTGTGGTGTGCAACGGGTGGGTGGAGGCATCAGAGTGGGGGAAGAAGAAGTGGAAGTTGTCCAATCTCCACGTGGAGAGCTTGGGAGAAAGGGCAAGCGAATGTGGAGAGCCTGCGTATACAATTATCATATATTTTAAGTACGTTTCTTTTTTCCCTTTTTTAAATTTATGTTATCATGCTCTGCTGCTAGTGGGTGAGGGAGAACACAACCTATTTGAGCCATCTACGCAAACAGATATGGTGACTGGCAAACAGTGATAGTGGTGTGTCGTTGCTCGTTGCAGTAGCCATTCTTTGCTTTGCATCTCAAGTTCAAGGAGCATGTTTTAGAGACTGTTCCTGTCAAGTGTACTGAGGGTGACACCTTCTAATCTGAATTCTTTGGTTTTCAACAGTGCACAAAAGATCTAAACGCCTGAGGTCGGTCCTTTTGTCCGATCCTTGCGTTTCGGTGTCCTTTCTCTTGTTATTTTGCCTTCGGTGCCTTAGCACTACATGTTCCAATCGATTTCTGTGCTACTGAGTAGAGAGAGAGAGAGAGAGCCTAGAAGCTTTGTGTACACGACATGGGGGGGCTGAATGACCAACACAAAGGTTCATAATTTCTAGTACACCACCTGCCACCTGCTCAGTGTTTGTGGTCCTTGGGGAGGATGTTTTGTGGAGAAGACGCTGGATGAGTACTGAAGTTGCCGAGCAGAATCAGCTAGAATCGATAGACTAGGTTGAAAACAAGAACACAAACAATGACTCTGACTGTTCTATAATCGGCCGTGGAGGGAAGTTGGAATCAATTCTTTGCCCAGAACTTCCGTTTTTACTCCTGAACTACCCCCACCTAAATCGTCGTAATCCACCACTACCGGGCGCCGGGGTTAGTTCATGGGTCATGACTGGCCTCTCAGGGTTGATTCCTGGATTCTCATGTCGAGTTCGCTCGTTCTGATTGAACCGCCCCCCAGGTCAAGCTGGAGCAACGCTTCGCGCAGACCTTGCGCAGCAGTGGTCTGGGGGCCCAGCAGTGGACGGGCGGAAAGGTGGTGGTGAGAGGGTGGAGAGGTGGTGGATTCGGACATCAGCTTGTTTGCGAAGCCAAGTAGGTCAGGTCAACACCCGGAGCCCGGTCTCAGGGCCCCTCCAGGCCCCTGATGAGTTGACCTCCCTAGTAATGAGTCAACTGCCAAATAGGGGGAGTTTGCACGCGCAGGTCTCCCTCGACTTGGGGGTTCAACTTGGATGATTAAGACGGGAGTCTCTTTCTTGGGCACTGGCATTGGGGCCCTGGCGTGGGATTTTTTTAGGTGGCTTGAACAGTGGCAATGCTGGGACCCCGGTGTTTTTGGAAGCCGTGATGACTGCGATTCATCCAATGACTTGCAAGATGCTTGAAACTCATTGGCTTTTACATTGAACACGATGCAGCACTCATGAGTTACAGCTTTTAAACTGAACACCCGGAGTGGTGGGAAATCCAGCGCTTGACACCGGGCGTTTGTACCGTCTTCACCGCAGAAGAGCCCCATGAATTTCACCCCGTCGAAGAGCCAACCTGTTTGGGGAGGTCTTTCCTCCCGTTTCTTTTCCGGGCGGTTGGTCGCGCTGCGCGGGTGTGGAACCAAACATGAAAAAGGTGCAATTCTATATTATGGACGCTCAGCCTGACCTAAAGATATTCCAAACGTGCTGTTCCAACCATTTGCCTCAAAACTTTGCGGAAGTCTCTGAGAGAATCCTCAACTTGGTCTCCGGATGTGCTGTACCCCACCTGCCGCGCGGCCACAGGTGAGGGCTCGCGGCCGGCACCCAACTCCTTGTCCGCAGGAGCTTCGCCCCAGGCGAGAACGACTGAGATTCAAGGGGGCTGGGGAGAGATGACGAATGACATGTGCTTGATCTACACTGATCCACTGGATCGATCTGTGTTTTGTATTATGTTCCACATCTTTTGGGTGGGCAATTACATAGTGGACAACACGTGGCAGGATCTTGATCTTGGGATTGGGTTTGACCCTGAACGGGCCCAGAGAGGCCTCTTAAGGCTAGCTGCCCAAATGATCTTCTCAAGCGACCCTGTGGTTGGTTTTCCTTGCTCTATTCCTTTCGAGTTCCATTCCTTTTCGGCTCATTCTTACACTAAGAGCACTGGAAGCAACTTCTACCGAAAACAGCACCACCTACCGTGTTATCATGTTTTCTTTTCCCCTTCTGCACACCATGTGGGGATGGACAAATCGAGCAACCCAGTCGCATACATCATCATACTTCCATCGCACTCGTCACGCGCGTGCGCGCGCGTATGCGTCACACTTTACGTGTGTCGCGTGCAGGGGGATGCCCAGCGTGAGATTGTCGCTGAGGAGTTTGCGAAGGGAGTTGGATGGGTTGGAAGAGTTTTGTGGCACCTGAAATGGTTTACTTGGAGTCGAAGCCGAAAGATGTCAGTTCACATCACCACATACCGTACCTCAACTGCGGGGCTATTGTTGCGGTGGGGGGCTGAGGCTTGGGAGCTTTATGACGTTGATTTGATATTGGGAACTGAGCTCAACCCGTGAAGTGTCTCATCCCATGTGTCGCACAATTTATTTCTGACCAAGCCTTTCACAAGGTGCTTAACAAAGTTACTCTATAAATTATCTTAAAGTACTTAACCCCTTGGACAGCAGCTGTTTGTGCTTCTTTGGCAGGAGCTGAAGAAGCGCTTGGAAGTCTACGAGCAGAAACTCTCCGATGCTCGGCCAAAGGTTTAGGAATCCTCAAACCTAACCCAGAACAGTTGATAACCTTCAACCATTTCTTGGCGAAATTGATTTCCACACTCAAAAAACAGGGAGAACTGGGAGTCAGCCAGGTGGGGAAGTGCCAGGTCATGTTCTTTTTTGATGCGAGGGGGGGAACCTCGATTCCAAGACGATGCACGACTTGTGCCTGGTGCATCCTCAAACCACTGGGATTTTCTTTTGTACTCTACAAAGCCATCGTTTTTCACCCTGTAGGGAACCACGCTGAAGTCCTTGGTGCGACGAACGTGCCGGAATGAGGATGGCGGGATTCGAACTAAGGACTCGAAACTTCCCTCATTCCCTACGTTTCGTCGCACCAGTCAGTCTGTGGAAGCAAGCTGAACCGCTTGTTGCTTGTGCCGACCGGTCTCCATCTGAAGAACACGGGGAGACCGTGCTGACCGTTTCGGTCCGCGGTGTATGTGCTTTTGTGGGTGACTATCACCTTGAGTTTGGCGGACGTTGTGAAGGCCAACCACACAGGGTCGTGGTCTTCCACACCGGGGTTTCTCAGGGTTCCAAGGGAGACCTCCTTTTTGCGATTTCTTTTGTGTAACAAACACCAGGACCCTCTAAGACTATGGGGCTTCAGATGGCTGAAGAGCCCCGAAAAGAGGTGATCCGGGGTGTCCATGAACCCAACTCCCCGTGGGTCCATGAACGGCCACCGCCTCGTGTCGCCAGAGCCGTGACGCCCCCCTAGGCCATCCACTCGGAGCACGTCATTGACGCGAGCAGCATGAAGGAACGCTTGGAGGCCGGAGCCCAGAGGGTGCCGGAGAGTTTGATAGGTCGACTCTGAAGAGGTCAACTCGTTTCTTCTGGGCGCCAATTCTTTGGACAGACTCAGACTGTGTTTGTGTGTCCTTGAGTACCCAAACAAGGATTTGAGCATATTTGGAGCCAATATGAACAAGAAAGAAGTCTTTGTGTTTGAGCACTGTTTCTTGAGCAATCAATGGATATCTTTGTCGAGCGAAAGAAACAAATCCTTGTGGCTGGGTTGACTTGAGGTGAAGGTGTGGGGTTCCCATGTTTTTCTGGTTGAGTTATAGGACAATAGAAAGGTCTCTCTCGATCTTCGTAACATTTCTTGGGAAAGAAGCAAGGTTTATTCGAATGAGCCCGGTTGGTCTTCTAACGGCGAAATGCCAACGATTTAGAATCTTAGAAGCCACCTGGGGGGTCTTGCACTGACGATGCTATCAAGCAAGGCATCAGGCAAAACAAGATTGTTGCAAGTCAGGCACAAGAGAATGATTGTATTCACAGCGCCATCAGCCACATCTCTACATGATGGGCCATCCAACTTTAACATGGGGTCATAGCTCCACCATGTTCATTGACAGGACCACATTTAAACACGGAAAACAATTAAACTAAGAACATAAAACACAACCGGAGGATTTTGTTCCATGATAATCCAGTAATATAGAGTACCTTTTATAGAATTGCTACTTTCCACTGCTCTGTCCACGAGCTGTGGCTTGGACGAGCCGACAGTCGTCGCTGTGGCTTGGAATTGCTGCTGTCTACTTGGAGCTGTTTGTTGATTGCGAACGTGTCTACTTCGTTCGCACCCAAACTGGAATTGCCAGGTGGCCTTGCGGGAGAGTGACAATCAGATGTCCCGGGCGGATGAGCTCCAGGCGCGTCGACACGACTGACGGATGGCGGACGGTGGATGAGCGGAACGGGTTGGGAGAGGTTGGAAGGTGGGGAGGGTGTGATGTTTTGGCGGAAGGGCGAGAGTTGGGGAACGGGAGGTGTTTTTGATGGTTTTTGTTTGCTTAGTGATATGATATCATTATCATAATAACTATAATAGTGATATGTTTATATTCATTGTTTGGCTCTTAGTGCTGTAGCTTTGATCTGGCTTTTCTTGGTTGTGATCTGTCCGGTTCTACTAGTTGCTCAAGCGAATCTGATGTGACCGGTCTGGTCTTGGAGGAGAAGACCATCGGCAGGTCATGGGCTTTCTTCTCACCACTCATCACCACTCATCACCAACAAGGTGAGATGTCAGTCTCACAAAACCCCCACCCGTTAACGAACTCCTTTTCGGGAATGTGAGCACATCAGAACCTCCCCGTTTCTTGTGGAGCTCGGAGTGCAGGCCCTCTTGAAGGAGGAGCAAGGCCGCCGCGCGCTGCTCTTCGCGCGCCTGGAAGCCTTGGAGGCGCCCGGGGGCGGTCCTCCTGGGGGGTCGACCGGTGAACCGGTTCCGTGAGAGGTGGCTCAGTTGTTCCACCTGTTTGAGATGCCAGGACTTGTATTCCGTCATACATCCACCCCAAATGTCGCTGGTATCTTACTTGAGATGAACAACTCTCCGAGGCTCATTTAGGGAGATTTTTCTGAGTTGGGCAGTGCGATTGTCGAGGACACCTCCTGGCGCCCGAGGGGGAGGAGCGCCCAAGACTGTACTTGGCGGCTCTGAGCCATTGGGACACATGTAGATGGAATAGAAACGCAACCATACTGTACTTGTAACGCTTTTCTATGTACATGCGTGGCTGTGGGTGGCGGCCTGACCAAAAGATTTTTGAAAGGCCAATAGATTAGCTATCTTCATTGAGGTACCAAAGGCGCAGGATTCAATTCAATTCTCATCCAATTCAATATATCATATTCAATGACTTAAGTGTTGATAGATCCAATCAGATCCAATCAACATCAATATCTCAAGACTCTCGACCATTCAATCCTCAAGGCCATCCAATCCGATGTTTTGCTTCGCAAGGCCTCCGTGACGGACCTCCGTACCAACCAGCGCGAGTTCGCCGCCACCCCCGAGGTAGGGTGAATCGTGGTCGATGGCGCCTGGGTCGTGGTGAACCGTGGAAGTGCTTTTCTGATGGCATGGCTTTTTTCTCCACAAGGCCACCCACACAAACATGTCGTGCATGAATGGTTTTTGCATGATGTGATTGAGCTCCAAAAAGATAGGTCCACATGGACATCTCAAGGGCCTGGACCTTCACCCCGTCAAGCCACACTAGGCTCACGAACAGCCCGTACAAGTGCTGATATTCCATTTTGGGGGTAAAAAAAGGGGCTCTCTCAGGAGGAAAGCTCTCTCAAACCTTTCGGAGGAAAGCTCTCTCAAAGAGTTTGCCTTTTGAAGCACCATCTTCGACTGGCAAGCTGCGAGCCCATCCGATGCCCAGCTCTCAGCCCGTCCGACCATGCAGGTATTGGTATTAGCCTGCCCCCCATGTGAGAATCCTCAAACCCCTCATTGGTGGACCCAAATCATCCCAAATCCAATTCGAAACCCACCACACACACGTGTGCGGGACATGCTTTCATGTTTTGCGTGCAATGACCTGCCGTGCGCAGGTGACCGAAAGCCTCTTGCGTGCAGAGATGAAGAAGGAGGCAGGGCGGCCAGGACGGCAGGGGCGGCAGGTGACCAGTGTCTCGGAAAAATCCCCGGTGGCACAGATTGGCCAAGGTTTGCTGGGACTGCAATCAAACACTATCCAAATTTGTGGACTGCATCTCCGGATTCAATTCAACTTGGGGGCTGCGCTACAGTAGAAACACATGTTTTGCTCAATCGATTGGTATTTTCAGGCCTTGATTGATTATCCTCTTCCACTTCCACTGAGAGCTGGGAAGCGGTCCCCTTGCCTTTCATCCATCGCCCCTCGTGCCCCCTTCATTCCACGCTTGTGTTTCATCCATTGCCCCCTCGTGCCCCCTTCATTCCTCCCTTTCTTTGTGCTTCATCCAT